ACTTCTCTCCATTCATTCTGTTAGCTCCCTGTTCCACCCTGTATGTCATAGTTTTTGTTTCGTAGTTCAATTAAATATGTGATATGTTGTTCCCACTGCTGGAAGCCTTTTCTTTTCCATTCAGAATCACAAATGGGGTAGGACTGGATGACATGGGAGTAGGGCAGGAACCGGCCGTAGTAAAGATAGAGGAAACTGTTATCAGGATATATTGTATAGGAAAAGAAAGGATTTTCAATATGAGGGGTACACAAGAAATGCCCTGAGGGTAGCAATTTTTGTGTCGCACTTCATTCACAACCATGTTGTGCAACTGCACAGGGGAAACGCCTCTTGAGACGTAGACCTCCCTTGTCTCCATACATTTCACTCAAAGCTAAATGCCTTCCTTAGAAGGGAAGCAATTGAGAAGCATAACTAAGATGGTGTAGACACAATAGACATTACTCAGCATTTGGAAATAATGTATCTCCCTTCAGGAATTTGTGAATTGTAGTAGTGAGCTTATAAGACTACCATGGTTACATAGCATGGATGTATGATAGGACTGTGAAACACTGCTACAGAGAGATGCCCAAGATGCACAATCCGTCTGTGGGAGAAACTGCAATGTTTTTATCAAAGCCTTCACTAAATTGACAAGGAAAAATAAATAGCAAAATAACAAAAAAAATTGCCCAAAACAACAACAGCAAAAAAAAAAATAAAAAATAAAAAAAAAACTAGGTTTACCCCAGATTTGATGGTGGAAGTACTTCTGTGTATGTTTATCTTATTGATTGTTGAATAAAGTTCGGTTTGGCCAATGAGACAGCAAGTTAGACAGGACTAGGAGTCAAAGAGGATTCTGGGAAATATAGTAGAGATGTGGTGATCCAGGCCGGAAGTGACATAGCAAGGAGAATCATTTAAGCAAGTAGATACAGGAAGTGTCTCCTTTCCCCTTTGCATCCTCCAGTGGTGGGATGTGAGCCACCGACAAGAGAGGGTGCCAGCAAAAGGCCTCCTCTATAAGAGAAGTCTTGCAAAATATTTAGATTTATGATAATTAAGACAGAGCTAACAGATGAGAATCCTAGTCATTGGCCAAGCAGCATTTGAAGCTTAATACAGGTTTCTGTGTATTAATTTGGGCCCTAACTCAGACGGGCGGCTCACTTAAAGCACACACGTCGCAGTGGGTCTCAGAACTTGTGGCACAAAGATTTACTATAATACAGATTGGTGGCACGTGCCTAAACTTCCTGCACTGATGGAATGGAGAAAGGTGTATCAGATCCATGAGAAAACAGTAAGGAGTAGAATATATTGTTTCTTTTCTTTATATTGGACCATAGAAATACAACAATACCGGAATATTACTAACAAAATAAAGCAATAATACCAAATTTAGCAACACTCTCTTGATGTGGGAAGTGCTTCTGTGTATGTGTTTGTCTTATTGGGCGATAAATAAAGTACTCTTTGCAAATGAGGCACCAAGTTAGGCTGTACTAGGAGTCAAGGAGGATTCTGAGGAATGTAGTAAAGAAATGGTGATTCAGGCAGGAAGTGACATAGCAGGGAGACTCATATATAAGCAAGGGCAAGAAGGATGTCAGCCCTTCTCACTTCCTCCTGGTCTCTGCTCTGGAGTAGCCATGTAATCTGCCTGCAAGCAAGGGCACCAGTGGAAGGCTTCCTCTAAGAGATAAGTCTCGTAAAATATATAGCTTTATGATTATTAAGACTCAGCTAGGAGATGAGAATTCCTAGTCAGCATAATTATTGTCTATATATAGTAGGGCTACTGAATTTTTTGAGTTAAATTGTATCCTGTCATTTTCTGAAGGTGTTGATCAGCTGTAGGAGTCCCCTGGTAGAATTCTTCAGGTCCCTTATATATAGATTCTCATATTATCTGCAAACAGTAATAGTTTATCTTCTTTGTTTCAAATTTGTATCCCCTTGGTCTCCTTTTGTTGACTTATTGCTCTAGAAAGAAATTCAAGCACAGTATTGAAGAGGTATGGAGAGATTGGACAGCCTTGTCTTGTTCCTTATTTTAGGGGAATCATGTTGAGTTTCTCTCCACTTAGATTGAAGTTATCAGTTGGTTTGCTGTATATAGCCTTTATTATGTTTAGGAATGTTCCTGTTATCCCTGATCTCTCCAAGACCTTTATCATGTAGGGGTGTTGAATTTTGTGAAAGGCTTTTTCATCTTCTAGTGAGATGATCATATGGTTTTTCTTTTTCAGATTGTAAACACAATCCAAAACTGACAAAAAAGACCCAGACGGCCTGGAGCTGGAGTTCAAGGCAATTTTGAACCTCCTGACATGCTAGATGTGAACGAAACTTATGTCATCTGCAAGAACAATTGTCTAGACACACGGGGGAGGGCACTCTCTCAGTCTAGACACACGGGCGAGGGACTAGGGACTAGGTCCTGAACCTATTGATGTGACAGACATTGATGATGACACCTTATGTGAGGCTAAATGCTCTCTCAGGAGTTCATGGGGGACTCATTGTGGGGGGGCCGGGGTTAGAAGATGTGAGCAGAGGATAGTGTGATTGGAATGTAATCTACAATTCCTTTTACTTTAAAATAAAATTAATTTAAAAATGAAGCCATAACTGAATGACCCCGGAAGGAGGAATACTTAAAACTTTAAATCGCCTACTATTCCAAACACAAGGATGAGAACTGAAAAGATACAAGTCCATGAGGTGGAAAGTTACACAAACTTATACCATAAATAATTCCCATGAAAACCATACAAAACTCACAAAGTCAGTCAATAGAAACTGAGAAATTCGCCTGGGTAGCCATTGAAAATGCTCGCCATAATGACCCCAGGTTTCTATGACAAACACAAATGCTTCCTGATTTCAGTAACCAGCAATGGCTCTTCCTCTCTTTCTCTGTCTACAAGAACTCTTCACCCTTGTTATCACCCTAGAAATCTAACCCACTGGAGAAACTGCCACCAGCAGGAAAGCAGAGCTTAGCTTCTTTGTTACAAGAAATCATATCCCTGGAGGCATGGCCACGTTCTTCACCAGACTATGGTCGTCTTCACGAAAATGTTATCAAGTCATAGATGAAGATCTTGAAGATCTTTGTCAGGTGACAGATGAGCAATTTCATCCACTAATTAGCTATGGAACTTTGACCTCACAACAGGTAGTTAAAATCTGTCACACCTTGTACGAATAGATACTGAAAGGGAACAGCTAAAAGGTGGGGGAGGCACCGGGAATCAATCCCTGGACCTCATGCTTGTAAAGCAGGAGCTCTACCACTGAACTACATCCCCACACTGTAGAGAAGAGGGATTGGGGTATATATGAAGGCATGAAGAGTGGTCCAGCATTTATACTGCCTGAAAGCAACTGCATCACTAATTTTGAATATATTTTATGGGTATCCATTGAGTGTTTTAATAATAATTTTATGGCATTTCTTGGATGAGAAAACAATCTATTGTCATTCAAAACCTAATAATAATAATAATCATGATAAACTTTTTATTCTTCAAAAAACGGCAGGCTAAAAATAAAAAATACTTGCAATTATTCAGGCCCATCCTCTTGAATTCAATTTTAGGTTGCAGTATAAGTCTAACTTGACAGTATCATAATGGCCTCAGTGAAAACGGCCGGGACATAGAAGACCGAAAGCAGGTCACCTAATACCAAGTCTTCAATGATGGAGTAATTCTCGGAGGCCCTCCTCATGCCTGTCGACCGTAGATGTCTACCTGGATGGACACTCTATCAACACTGTTGAGGGCAATGGAGAGGTCATCTCCACCCCATGGCTAGCACACCATATACAGCTGCGACTTCGATGGTCCACACCAACGTGCAAGCCATCGGGGTTACACCCATCTGCCCCTGGTTATCATTCTGTCAGATGGAGATCCCCGCAGCGGTCTAGCTGAAGACTTTGTTGTCACACTGCACGGGTGTATTTTGATGGACAGAAGAGACAGGAAATGTGCCATGGAGACAGCATCAGCATCACAACCTCCTGATACCAGCTGTCCTCTTTCTGTGTTTGCACCCCGTGATGGACTGTATTGAGAACCTGGCCCAGTGTCTGCACTGGAATGTTCCAAAGAAGCAAGCTCACTTCCCAGAGGATGAGGATGAGGACCAGGACGATGAAGACAGCTAGGCCTAACTTCCCAGCCTACAACCTGAGCCCTCCAACCCTTGGGGGCCTTCCTTCTCTTGTTCTCCCTATGGCCTTCTGGCTCAGCTGGCCTTGTCAAACCATAGGGTTGTTCAGGCATCTGTGTCCTGCCTGCCTTGGGGGAGTGCTTGGGTCTGCCTTTGGAAAAACACATCAGTCTTTAATGTTTTCACACACTTTCCTTTATAGAGAAGAAAAATGCCTCTTGAAATGTTGTCCTCCCTTGTCTCCATACTTTTCGCTCAAATCTAAATGCCTTCCTTAGAAGGGAAGCAATTGAGATGCATAAATAAGATGATGTAGATGGGACCACAATAGACATTACTCAGCATTTGGAAATAATGTATCTCCCTTCAGGAATTTGTGAATTGTAGTAGTGAGCTTATGAGACTACCATGGTTACATAGCATGGATGTATGATAGGACTGTGGAACACCGCTACAGAGAGATGCCCAAGATGCGCAATCCGTCAGTGGGAGAAACTGCAAGGTTTTTCTCCAAAGCCTACACTAAATAGCCAAGGAATATTAAAAATCAAACCAACAAAAATATCCCCAAAATCAACAACAAAAATACTTTTAACCCAGATTTGTGGCACGTGCCTAAAATTCCTGCACTGAGCAAATGGAGAAAGGTGCTTGTCTTCTTGTGTGATAAGTAAAGTACTGTTTGGCCAATGAGGCAGCAAGTTAGGGGTAGTGGGAGTGAAGGAGGATTCTGAGAAATGTAGTAAAAAAGGGGTGATTCAGACAAGGAAGTGACATAGCAGAGAGACTCATATATAAACGAGGGGAAGATGGAAGTCAGCTCTTACCTCTTCTTCCTGGACTGTGCTCTGGAGTAGCCATTTTATCTGCCGGCAAGAGATGGCACCAGTGGAAGGCTTCCTATAAAAGATAAGTCTTATAAAATATATAGATTTATGATAATTAAGACTGAGCTAACAGATGAGAAATCCTAGTCATTGGCCAA